TTCCGCATACATCGAATTTGATATATTTTTGTATTTAATTTATTTATAGTTGCTGTAATATGCTCATTCCAGCTGAGATCGTCCTCTAGGGTTAATCCCAAGAATTTTGTTGTTGATTTTCTGTTAATATTTAAGTCATTCAGTTTGATCGAGAGTGGATTGTTTATTAGTCTTTGTCTGGTGTGAAAGATTAGATACTCAGTTTTTTCTGTATTGAAATGTAGTTGATTAGCTGAAAACCATAGTCCTAGTTTACCAAGAAGATGGTTACAAGCTTGTTCGGTCATTTCACTGCATTCCTGGGAGACAAGAAAAGATGAGTCATCAGCATACAGCGTGATGTTATCCTCAGGTAAAAATTCCACTATGTCAGCAATGAATAAAGAAAATAGTATTGGGGCCAAAACACTTCCCTGTGGCACTCCCAGCTCTAGTTGCGAGGCATCTGAGCAGTGCTTACTAGTAGATCCGTCAACTTCTTTGAAACAAATTTGGACAAACTGACTTCTATCAGAAAAATATGATTCAAACCATTTGGCTGCAATTCCTCGTATGCCACAAAGCCAAAGTTTTTGTAGCAGTGCCTTATGAGGAATACAGTCAAAGGCCCTACTTAAGTCGCAAAAAATTAATGGATGGATTTGAATTAATTTAAAACTCATTCTCTTATTTTTAGAGTATATTAATAAAAACTTGTTTTCAGCTAATGCAGGAGAACATATTCCTTAATCTGTTCATTACATTTAATGTGTTATTGTTGCATGGTCAGTCCTCACAACATTTGTATGTGTTCCACCAAACTATCCCTCGCCTTTGAAGAACTACTCTTTAAAATTGATGTGGCAGTCATCTTGTTTTCCGACACTTTGTTTTTTCTTTTCATTTGAATCTTTTTATTCGATATCCATATTATGTGGGTGCATAAAATAATGTAGTCCACAATCTTTGGGAGTCATTCACATGGAATATAGAATGATGACATTCAATTTTTTTCATATACTAAACCTTACGATTACGATCAAGTAACGGCCGAATTCAATCAGAAATTCCATTTTTTGAATTTTTGTTAAGCAAACCTACGCTTATCATAGGTGTGCATAAAAAAACTCTTTCATTTGATACATTTATCACGGATATATTGGATTTAGAGTGAAGTCATGTTATATTTTGTATTATTTTCAGCAAACCCTTTCATTTGATATCCATATTATGGAGGCGTATAAAAAATTAGTCTGCCATTTTGGGTGGTCTGCTTTGTTTGATGTTGAATGACGTCGCTTAGCTAATCATGCATCATCAACCAAACTAAACGTATATACAAAATTTCAGCTCAATGAGTTAAGGATAAGTGCACCGAAGTTAGTTATAAGATTTGACTCTAACTGACATACATACAAAGCTTGTTGAACACACATGTTAAAATTGCAATGGTTTGGTGTTTGTGTTTTTCAAAAAGTTCTTACCCTAGCAAATCCGCTGTGCAGAAAGTTTCAATGTTGTACAGAGAAAAACATATTTCTGTTCTGTCTGTTTTTCCGTTAATCAGTGTATTGGAATAGATAATGCTGTGGTGTGGCATAGCATAAAGATTATGAAACTGCCACTGATAGAGTCAGAACATTTAACATGCAACTTCCATAATTTTAATTGTAAATATAATGAGCTGTAGATTTTTTTTACTAATCGTGCCTATCCCAACTTTCAATTCTGATATCCATTCTTATACTGCTACTAAATCTAAACAAATTTTTCAATTTTTTCTAGGGTAACGGACCGAAGACTTTCCTTAGAGTTAAGTCATTTTCGGCCTTGCAGAATGTTCCATCCGAATGCATAACAATACCGGACGACCCGGTTCCGGAAGAGAAGACCGGCCATATATCGGAAGACGACGACGTGATCGCCATAGAAAAGAAAGTGGAAATTGTCACGATACTCGACGATAGCCCCATGAAAAGCCCTGAAAGGGAAGAAGACCAACGCTTAGAAAAAGCGGACAGCATCAAGAGTAATCTATGCACGGAGAAGCAGCCAAACGGCTTGACAAATGGGAGCGAAGACGGGGAAGAGGAAAACAAAAAGGAAACAACAGTGTCCATAGAGGATCTAGATCCAGTAGAGAAGTTGAAAATACTCAACACGAAGATACTCCTGCAAAGGTCCTCCGAAATAGACGAGCTTGTCAAGAGCAAGTTTGGTTTGTTGAATGGAGAAGTGTCAAACTAACAGTAGAGATGCGGTTTGGCAGGACTTCTGTGAAATCTTAGTTGAAATAGATTTTGAAAAAATCTATAACATTGATTTCTGGACTACAAAATATGTTCTGGTTACTACTTTAGACTGATGAGAGTGAATGTTTCGAGAAATAATGGATTTGAAGGTTTGCTGAAGAGCAGGAATGGCTGTAAATAAAGCTCTCCATTGCCATCGATTATTTCGCTTGGGAATAGTGCGTTTTTTATTGGGCGATGAATTACTGATTTCAGTTTTTGATATTTCTCTTTTTTTTTGTTTTTGCTATTAGTATTATATTAGGTGCACACTCTTTAATAATCATGTATTTTGTTTATGAGGTTTCATTAGAGATATACCTTGAAAGTTATGGAAAATTTTATTTGTATTGTAAATATTTTTGTTATGTAATGAATTTTTGTAAATATCACACACTGTGTTTCATTTACTTGGGGTTCTTCAGTGTTATGAGAACAATTACAACTACTCCTATTATATTTATTGAATTATTTTCATAAATCTCATCTTCTTTGTTTTCACTATTGAATATTTGAAAAGAAAACCAAAGTAACTATAACGAAATTCACAACAAAACTTCTTAACATTCTTTGATTTTTCTCAATCTCATAAAAGAACCCAAATCCATCATTCAGTTTGCCATACTTTTCGTTCAATATAAATTATAGTTTTTTCATTAACAGACTGTAGAACTTTTGATAAATAGGGGATTTATGAATCAATACATGAATCAAATGAAGACGGACTGCCTTTAAACTCCTGAGAACATAAATGTGTGGGCGACTGGACAGGAATATTGGGAAATCATATTGTCAGTCCAATATATCTAGAATCTGAATGAAGACTTTTATTTGGAAATTCTTCAAACCCTCATTCACCTACGGATTTAATGAACTGTGGCCAACTATTGAGATGAATCCGATCATTCAGTTGTTTTTCAACAAGATGGTGCGCTCTACTTTTTTTAGGCCTGCAAAGTATTGGTTAGAACAGACATCGCAGGCAAGTAGATTGGTAGGCTTGGTTTGTTAGAATGTTCTTTTTGTTAACCCGATTTGACACTCGGTTTTTTTCCTATGGGACTATATCAAATCGGAAATTAATGTTACATAACTTCGGAACATACAGAAAGTTGCAGACAGAATTAACGAAACTTGTGCTAGCGATACCCCAGTAACATTCCAAAATGTTAAAACCGAGTTAAAAAATAGACTGTTTCACTGTCGAGGGTGGATGAAGGAGAACATTTTGAACATTTGCTAAAATGAGCAAATATAAGAGAACATTCACAACATATTTGATTCAATAAAGACCCTGAAGGTAGGTGGAAACGACAGAAGACTAGGTACAATAAACGCTTCTATTAGATCTGTACCCTTTGGAGTTTATTCTAGACATTCAAAATACATTTTTTGTCTTGTCAGAAAAGCAAATTTTGGAGTTGACATAATAACATTTTGTGTCGGGCCCTGCTATTGTATAGGCTTAACTTATGCCTCTTCAGGGTTAATAAATCCAAAAATTTTGGAGTTATACTGTCAGAACACCGAGTCAGGTTTCTATGTAATATCGGAAGCACAGAATAGTAAGGAAGCATTCGGGTTGAATCGGAAACGAGGACGCCATTTCGAAACACACAACGTGTTTACTTCTGTACGGTGTTAACAGTTTCTGTGTGTCTGTGTCTCATACTGATATCTCATGATAGTGATATGCGATATATAGCATGATCGGAATAGAACAAGTAATGTGTAAAACAATTCTCTTGTAATCCCTATACAAAGTTTTTATTATAGTTATTACTATAATAAAAAGAGTATTGGTCATAATAGCGTCATTTCTGGAAGCTGGGACCAAAATTAAGAAGAAGAAGAAGTAACGTATTTGCGACATGGAATAATCAACGACACACATTGTGCGATTTCTTATCCCAACCACAGTAGAAAGCAAAGAGTACAGAGTAATTGATGTACTCTTTGGTAGAAAACTTTGTCCCAACCAGAGAATATTGAAATCTCAACTTTGGAACTTTATGAGCCAAAATTACTTTCCGAAAGAGGACATCGCCTCGTCCCGCCATTTCAATTTGCTTGCATTCCTGATTCCTGTTTACTTCAGCACAGCAGTTTTTCCAAATCTAGAAGGTTCGTTCTGGTTCTAACATCCGAAACTGTTAGGAAACAGCGAAATACATGCGTACAATCAAAAAATCTCAAACAGTCCGAAATAGTCTCAGACACTTGTTTAAACCAAAACGCTTTTGAGGAGACCACTGTGCCACCTATCATATATACGAAGATATATGAAGAGATGAAGACGAGAAAATACTATTGATCATGTCCATTTTGTTATGTAGCGTATCCTTATAGTCAGTTCAAATGTTATCTAACCTCAATCATCAATTATTCAAATCAAATAAATAAAAAAACATCCCAGCAAATAGCCCAAACAAATTTCCACATAAATGCGCATGAGCAACGGAAACAGTTCTCAACAGTTCAGCCTCGAGAGCAAGAACGATTTGGGATGGTTCAAAACAGTTTAGGATCATTTTGCAGTCGAAACCAGAACATAAGATCCATCAGTCCGAAATTATCCTCAATAAACCAGAATGCTCTATGTTACCTGCGCATGATCCTGACGTCCTAGAACCTGAATTTCGTAGATCCAGAACAAACCTAGTGTTACGAATCTGTAGGTTTGTTCTGGTTCTACCATCCGAAACCGTTTGGAAACTGCGCAAGACATGATGCGTACAAACCAAAATTCTCAAACAGTTCGAAATAGTCTCGGAATTCTCGGGACTCGGACACTTGTTTAAACCAGAACACTTTTGAGGAGACCACTGTGCCACCTATCGTATATATGAAGAGATGAAGACGAGAAAATACTATTGATCATGTCCATTTTGTTATGAAGCGTTAGTTCAAATGTTATCTACCGTTAACCATCAATTATTCAAATCAAAATAATAAAAAAACATCCTAGCAAATAGCCCAAACAAATTTCCCCATGAACAGTTCAGCAACAGTTCAGCCTCGAGAGCAAAAACGATTCGGGACGGTACAAAACAAATACAGTCGATGAAAACCATGTTGGGCACCTAAGAAAATTGTACAAATGATAATTTTGCATTTGTGTAATATTCAAGTAACCCAGATCATTTCGACAACGATGAACTATGTTTCAAGTAGATTTTAAAAATTCATGGGATCGGATGTGACAAAATATATTTTAATTTCAACAAGAGAAAAGACAAGATGAAGAACGAGTTTTGTTATTCATGAACCATGGTACTGTGCAAGAGCTCTCTAGGAGGAATACCGAGTCCCTGTGTGTATACAACCGTGATAGCATGGTCTGCATTGATAAGGAACACTTCAAAACGGTCCGCAGTTGGGTCCTTGTTCGAATCAGGCGAAGTCCCACTATTTGCAAAGTTGTTTCTCCAAAATGAGAAGCTTTGCACTTATGTCTGAGGAGACTTGGATTCCGAAACGTTAACAGTCGTAAGGTATTTTTGATAGTCAAATTTACATTATATAAGAAGTTGCTGACTAATAGGACATGTTTCATTTAGAATAACTGTTTTTAATCTACGCAGCAACTTTTTGGGGTTGATTAGACATCTAGACTTGTATAGATTCAAATATCAACATTTGTCAATATATGTCGAGTTATTAGCTAAAGAAGTAGTTGTTTTCTGTCGGAAAACATATATAATGGTATAGTCAAAATGCATTTGGACTTGTCAGTGATTTTATTATCAATTTTTACTTGGATAAAAGCTGGAAGCAGCAAAACAACCTATTATCTTACAGTGTAAATAATTCATAACTTCCGACTCCGAAAACTCTCACATACATTTATAGTTAGTACATACATACAAAAAAATTATTTTTGTATGATTGAACACTACATACTTAATTACTTTTTTACTTCTTCAAGTCTTGAATAGTAACTACATAATTCAGAAAGAATAGGCTCTACAGAATCCTTAATCTTGAGTGATGAATTCGATTAGGAATATTTTTAATAATTGGTCCTTAATATAATCGAATTGGCAAACTCGTCCGCCATCTTGAATTCTCCAATCAATAAATGAATATGCTATATTTGGCCCCAAAAATCACTACAAAGAAATTTCGCATGGATTCGTACCATGGTTCATGAATAACAAAACACGTTCTTTATCTTGTCTTTTTTCTTGTTGAAATGAAAATATATTTTGTCACATTCGAATATGAACATCTGCCGATTCCATGAATTTTTAAAATCTACTTGAAACTTAGTTCATCATTGCCCAAATGATCTGGGTTACTTCAATATTACACAAATGCAAAATTATCATTTGTACAATTTTCTCAGGTGTCCAACATGGTTTTCATAGACTGTTTTTTTTTGAGCAGTTTATATGAATAGTTGTTATGTTGAGCAGTGTATACACGCTTTGGTCACAGTATTTTGTATAATACTGTGCTTTGGTTGAGATTGTAGTAGGGAGAAATGTCATTAGTGTCAAATACGTCATCATTATAAAAAATGAAACTCCTGGACACCGACATCAAAGGGACCGACGCTGAGTGAAACTACTGTATACAGAAATACTGTGGTAGAGCGATAGAAAATGTTGAAATACGTTATTTGATGACTACAGTTTTGTTTGTGGGAATGTAAACTTGCCGAAAAATTCACTTGGGAAGATAACCTTAAAAAATGGAAACTCGTAATAACAATCCTTTGGGTCATAGATCCAATATACTCTGATGGAATTTTCTTATTACAGAAACTCTCACGAACTATGGGCAAACCAAAGAAAAACACCTCGAAGATAAACCGATGGACGTTGTTACAAATGGTGAGATAAAAAATAACTATTTATTTTTCAAAAACTAACTTCAAAATTTGTAGAAAAACCGGACTCGCCCCAAACCAAGAGTGTTTGTGGAGAAAGCTCAGAAAGTACAAGTGAGATTGAGTTTTTTTAATATATAGGATTTCCTTAATGAGGTTTCTTTTAGGGTATATTGAAAATCGAAAAAGTCCACCCCACATAGAAAACAAAGGTGAGCAATCACTACATTGAAAACCGCAAATAAACCTATAAATCATTTCAGATTTTCCCCAAGGAGATTGTGACAAATTTAGATTTGAAGAACATGCAAATGAAAGTGAAGATGATGTCAATGAAAATGACTTGGGAAGGATTGAAGAGGAAAGCGAGGAAGACTGCGAAGAAGAGGAAAAACTGCTGCTTAGTCCAACACGTAGCGATGAAGAGTATGACACTGAGGAGGAAGATTATTTGAGTGCTGTTAAAGATACTGACAAATTTCATATTAGAGATGAAACCGAAAAACTAGAAAGTGATGACAAACTTAACATCAGTGAATCTCCTATGTTAGAAGAATCCAAACGAACAAGCTCCCCACCCCAAATAAAAATCTCAAATGAAAGAACAAATGTGAAAGATTACATTGACAAAGGAAACAAAAAAGTTAATGAACATGAGATTGATAAAAACAATGATGTAGATAAAATCGATGATAAAAATAATGAAAATAAGACAGATGAAAAAGATAGTGAAAATATTAATGAAGATGCTTATCAGAATGATGAGATTGATGAAGCAGAGGCTGTAAAAGAAGAAACTGGTGCAGAAATTGTTGAAAAAAAAGCTACAACTGAAAGAGCAGTTAATGATGATAATATTGAGAAAACTGGATATGATATTGAAATAACAAGACACTGCATTGAAATAACTGATGTTACTTTTCATAATGAGATTATGAATGAAAAAGATGAAGATCACATTGAGGGAATGAATGTGGAAGGAGTAGATTCTTTGGGAGACACTTGTGTAACTGTTGAAATAGAAGAAACTGAAGATCTCACCACAGATATGTCGGATCCTTTAAGTACTGAAAATAAAGAAAAGGAGGTTAAGGAAGTGGAAAATCCTGCTCTGCCAAGTGATAAAGATCATGAAAACAAACAACATGGTGACAAGGTGAATCCTATGACTTTAAAAAAATCTGAAGAAAATAAGAGTAAAACCAAAGACATTAAAAAAAATCAAGATATGGAGGTTGAAAGGAAAACTACTGCGACTAGAACAGCAAAAAGGATTCAAGGAGAAAGAGACGCAGATTGCCCTTTATTGAGAGAAACTCTTACAAAATCTGCTGATTGTGATAAATCTAGAGGTGAGATGAATATTGTATTGATATCTGAATTGCATTAATTTTCCTTTTGTTATTCTATTATTTTTAGCCTATGAAGCTGTTGAAATGGATGAAGACTTTGATCCATCCCTACTCTGTCCAGAAATGTCTATGGAAGTAGATGAGTCTCCTGTTATAACTGAAAATGGTAAGCAACTTTCATTCTGTTTCTGATAACCAAAATAATTTTGAAGAAGAATAAAATAGAATTTATTTGTCATTAAAAGTCAAGTCAAGTTAAAATGGTCATCATTAATGAGTATATCAATTAATTTATTCTTTTCTGATAAAATTATTATTGGAAAGTTAAACTGGAATCTTTGGCGTAGAATAAATCCAAAACAAGCACTTTTACCAATTACCAGAGATTGAATATTGTTCTCGGTGTTTTTCACCAACCAAGTTGGCATCTTGAGGAGATGAATTTTGGGTAAAATCAATTTCATACTCAGGAAAAAATATTATGTGTATGTGATTGATGAAGGGAAGGCTGGCATTATAATATGTATTATTTGCTAGAAAAATTTTAAATGCACATATATTGCAAATGGAAAAAAAATTATCAAATGGACCATTATAATAAACATGTTTCAGTTTTGCTGGTTCTTTTCAAAATTGAGAAAATAATACATTCCAGATTGTTAAATAATCTCTCGGAATGTCTCTATGAATGAAAATTACTGTATAATAGTCAATACAGGTTTCAAAAACAGTGTAATACAGAATCTGCTGTATTAGATTTTACTTTTGGAAAAGACAGGTTGTGGTTTTCTACTTCTCCATCTTTATAGAAAAAATGTTTTGAGAGGGCTTTTTCTTCCAGTGTCTGAAAGTTACTTCTTTGTATGATCTACACATCTTTGTAAAGAGTTTATTTTGAAATTAATTGCTTTTTTCTTTTCTTTGGAAAATTCCCACATTACTTTGTATACAGATGGGAAAGTAGAAAGCCAAAATGTTCTTTCTGAACAACTGATCTCTACTAAAAATATAGTCCTTTCAATTTAAACTAGATTTTATTATATTACTTTTGCTAGACCTTAGAAATCATATAATTGATATGGCATTTCATGAATTAAAAAAATATGTAATGTGAGGATCAATCATTCTTCTCTCTATTAATCTCTTCATCATCTACTACTGCTATGTTTTACCCAATATATTCCATTATATAGGGTCTTATATATTTCAGTTTTTTGTAATTCTGTTTAATAACTGATATATTTGTATAATATTCATGTATATAAGGATATCTATTTCAAATTAATCTATTTCTATCTATTTCTATAGATACTGGTATTTTTTAAATTCTAATATTAACTTGTACCTGTTGTACTATATAAAAAGTGCATTCTTTCATTTTCTACAATAGTTTTTTAAATATTAAGATAATAGGGGGTGCTTTGAAACTTTCACTTTTTCACTGGCACAGATAAAAAACCACATAGTAGTTTTGACATTTACAAGAGGTGAACTTTAATGTTAAAAGTTCAGGAAATATAAGTTCTATCAAGATTTTTGAAGTGTCATTTACATTATTCAGTGTTAAAATTTTCAGTCAAACACTGAACAAATATCAAGTTGTTTGACAATATTTGCATAGATGGAAATACAGAGTACGAATCTTGTCGGCGGTCAATGTCGAAGATTGGCTTTACTACTGACCGCCTTAGGGAGACTCGTTCATCTTTGATATTCGAGGATTGAGCTCTCTGTCAATCCCATAGATGACACCTTCATAAGAGGAGATGTCATTGCCATTACTTAGGCTTGTCCTTTAAGGACAGTTGAGTCCAGCAATGCATTTATGGTTCAGCCTAGCACCACTGATGAGACCTATGGCGGATCGAAACATTGCTGCCTGTTGTTAAATCATAAATACATTGTGTTTAGGCTGTGGCCTTCAGCTTAGTGAAATTGTTTGATTTTCTGAAAAATTTTTTACAGTTGAATTTCAGTTAACAGAGGAGGAACAAAAACTCAGAAAGAAAACATATGGGGGAAGTAAGTACTTTGTTATTTATGTGTTGTATGTTTATTTGGAACATTTAAATCCTTTACTTTTGGAGTACTGTTTTTGATTGATTTTTTTCACTAATTATAATCTACTGTAGATTTAAACTTCTTATTTCATCTGTAAATATGGTTTTTGTTTCGCTTATCAACTTTTGAAATGATTTTCAATTCAAAACAGTAATGAATCATCTGGATCCGTAATGATCATATTGAAGTTGATGGAGAAATGAAACAAATATTGAGTTACTGATAGTCTTGGGTCATATTGAAATTTATAGGTGTTTGCCTAGAGAAAGTTTTCTCGTTGGCAACCCTCGGAGTTCAAAACTGCATAAAAAATATAGAAAATAATCTGAATCTTCAAAAAAATTGTAACTTCTTTTAAATACCGAAAAATGCAAAGAACAGACATCGCA